ACGATCGAGTTCAGTGTCAGATCGCTGGAAAAGGAAAACGGGGTGGGCTGAGAGGAGAGACGGACATCGTTCTAACCCGTCACGCGCGCCTGGAAATGAGAGTAGCTGCTTAGGTTGGCCGGCAAAAGCAAGGATTTCCTGATCTCTTGTCTGTCTGCCTCGCCGCGAACGCAGCCATGACTTTCGCGTGCTTAAACCGTTCGTGAACCCTTTCAATGTTGATTAACCCTTCTTCGGATTACCCTGGGATTATCGTTTCGCTCGAACAGCATTTTACACGACTGGTAAGTGGAAACAAATTGTCTTCGCTGCTTTGAAAAATTTTAAGAATTTAATTCAATTTGGGGTAGTGACCCACATCGTCTGAAGAAGTATTGACTCCTTGAATTTTTGAGTTTTTAACTCCTAAAATTTTTAACCCCTAACAAATTTGTTATTCTAAATTTTCACTTCATTGGAAGTCAATTTCTTGACGAGTTCATTCATCTAATTAAGTTTCCTTGTATTACAACCGCCTGAGATGGAATCATTTGCCAATATACCAGAAGAAGCACTGACGTCAGGCAAAATCACAATCATCATTAAACGAAATGAAAATGCGCAACATGTCTGCGACGGATTCCAGATGGAACTGATAGCTCGAAATTAGCATCCCATCAGAGCACCGTTGTATAATCAGCGAGGAATCTTTAGATTATTTCTGCATTAATTGCGCATAATTGATCCAATTAAACGGGTAATCGTTTTGCTCGTATCCTTGAAATCTTCCACTATAAATATAGCTCGATCAATTGTATAATTTTAACCTGCTGATTACCCTTGAAAAACAGATTTTTATTTAAGATTCACATTGTTTTTTCAAAGTTATCAATTTTTGTTAGAAATCAAGCGAAATTTTACTCGTAATAAGTTTACATTAAAAGTTGTAATAAGTTCTAATTTAACATCACAGTTTTAAGTGAAAATATCTACTATTAAGAGTGACCTGCTATCAAACAATGTAAACCTTCTAGAAACCACTAAACGGTAAAGAAATTATAAGAATTGTGTGTTTTGAGGTTTCACGAAACTGGTAAGAAAATTTGTAGGCGAGTGACCAGTAGAATTTCAATGGTTGCCCAACATTTGACTTTTCCCAGTGCGGTCACCTGCTTGCGGCATTTAATAGCCTTTACTCTGTGTTGTAATTTCCCTGGAAGCATAAAGGTCCATTCATATTCACAAACATTGAAAAATGTATTATACTGACCAACATTTGGTTTAACAGAACATACATGTATCTACATTATTGTTTGGTAGTACAATCGCGATCAAATTAGACCTTTTAGGGGAAAATGGTAATGTTGCGGTTACCACTCTTCCCCGGATTCCCGGGTACCCAATCACCCCCGTAGACTTCCTCGAGTTCTGGGATTCCGGGGTTCCTGACACTTTTCGCAGACCTCCCCTTCCCCGGTCTCCCACCTTTCCCCTTCGGAGTCCCCGAGGAGAATGACGACGCAGCGAAGTCACGATATACATATATGGGTCTATAGCCCCCCACCACTTGCGTACAAACATTTACGCGGGAAAATTTAAATCAACTTACTTTTACATTCGTACTTTTCAGTTATAAACTAAATTTTATGATATCCAATAATAAGAAATTATTTTATTTTGTTCCTAAATTACTTTTAATGTTAATATATTCAAAATTAGAATTTCGAGAATTTTTGCATTCCCTATATCGCTTTAGATGTATTGTGTATTTTACAACATAAAATGTAATAGCACTAGCCTCTCAAATCTAATGTATGCTCTGTGGAATTAAATATGAAAGTTTCCATAAATAATGCATTAATCTGGGATACTTTCAATGTTTGCAACTATGAAGAGACCTTAATACGTCCCAGTTGAGGAAGCGGATCCCACCTTTGCCCGACAGCTATGATTCATCCTAGGCTCGACAGACGGTGTCGTTTCCTTTGCTGTTATTAAAGTTGCTAATAATCCCGACGTCTCTATTTCAATTGTCAACTTGAAACTATGCATCAAATAATGCATCCTTTTTTTAATTATTTCTGATCGAATAAAATAGTTCCACAGGGAACAGAATAATCAAAATATAAAACATGCTTCAAAAATCTATTTATAATCATAAACAATTCAAAATTGTATATTTTAATTCACTGATTATATAACTATTATTTGATCGTTAAAGGTAATTACCTGTAAGGTAAAAAATTGATAGCAATTTTTATGTAACTATACAACGATTGAATACGAGGGAACAGAAAAATAGATAAACGTGGAATGCGATAAATTGCAGGAGGAAGTGGACTGTTGTGTGATGAGAAATGTAATAAGCAAAGTTGCTGAAATCTGTTTTGCGCAAAACCGTCGTTTCCTGTACTCGTGAATGCATGCAAATACGGAAAGAATCATACAGCTTTCACGGTACAAAATATACTTTAGACAAGACACACAAAACAGGTCTATTATTCATGTTGTATTATTAGGTACGCTTTCGCAAATTCCTTTGTATGAAAGTACATCCACGTAGCTACATATTATCTATGTAATATATTAGCAAATAAATTAAAAAAATAGTAAACTAATAAACATAAAAAATGTAACTGCCTGAGCATAACAATAGAGATTAAAATTATTTTTCTATACGAAAATGAAATATTATCAATTATTAATTTCCTTATTGACCCAAATCTCCTAATATAAATAAATCAATTTATTTTACTTCAGTAATAATACCCACCATTTTACACCGTTTAAAATCACTGATCTTGCCTTTAATATCAAAGATACCCCATTGATAAGTAACCCTTTGAAAATGGATTCGAACATCCGCTTTCTTCGTTGCCCTAAGAGGACTATCTCGAGTGAACATCGACGATTGAAGAAACTTTTTTCACCAACGGATCCATTCCTCTCGACACCTTGGGTATCCGTGTTTTTCAATAAAATTCACCCACACGTATTCGCCATTGTCCGGCTCGGACGGCGCTCCTTAAACGACTCTCATTAGAGCGGTGCCCTGGGACAGGGGACCAGGAACGAATCCTTATGCGAGGTCGGGTCACAACGTGGCGAACACTTTAAAGGAACAATGTGACCTCTCAGCAACGAATCACGCGGCAACGAAGGCCATACCTGATCGAGATGTCCGATCGATTCACCGAGGAAAATTTACGAGCAACTCGTGGACCACGCAGACGATCTTTGGATAAAACTTTACCATTACCATTTCCAACAGCGGCGATTTGTTCTATCGGCAGCCTCAGGTGCCAGGAATCTATTGTTCCACTTAAGGACAACTTATTTTCAGCACGTGCACTCCACGGGAATACTAACGAGCCGTCGCCATTTTAGGACTGCTGTCGGAGATTTTAATGAAATAATAAGGAATCGAGAGATTTCTAGAGGCTGTAATTCTTTTACCGATTGATTTGAGAGGAAAAATTGTTCCATTGAAAGAAACTTCTTTTTTTTTATCAAGGATCTTAGATTCTTTCCGGCTGGAAATGGACTTCCGCTGTGCGAAGGACAAACGGAGCGTTTAAGAAGACGTTCAACGAGGTAAACGCAAAGAGAAAAGGAAAAGCCATAGGATACTTGGATCACGTGGTGTGACTCAGAAAGTGCCGATGCTTATCACGTGACTTTTCTTTTCACCCCAGGAAATAAGAGTGCGGACCAGTCGAGGTGATTCTCCCTTAGCCTCGAAGCACGGTAATCATCCGCATAATAATGCCTCGAGCCGGCACGAGCTTGTGTCACTCGTATAAGGAGCGGAGCCCGGTGCCTACGCGCTTGTTCCAACGCCTTTTCTACGAGATCCTTTGTGCCCATTTCCCGTATAGGCTAAAGAGGGAAAAAAGAAAAGGGAAGAGGATCCTGTCCGCCTCCACGCGTTGCAACAGCTCTCCGTTTAATTCGACTCTCTGTACTTGTGTTATTCAATGGTTTGAATGTAATTTCACAAGAACTCGCGTGTCGTGCGGCGTGATAAATCTGTAATATATTTTCAGGCTAAGTCATTTCCGGTGTAAAAGTAATGGGAATAGAGTAATGTTTGTCTGGTTATTTGTTGAAAATTGTGTAGTCATTTTATCTTGGATCTCAGAGGAAAATTTAAGATAGTTTAAGGTAGCTAATTTGTCTGCGTGTGTATAAATTAGTTTTGTTAAACTTTGTTTTAAAAATATTTGCTATCGTCGATTTAAATTAAAATAATTGTTTGTGAAATGACCTCGAACAATATTTGCATTATTCCACAATTACCTGTCTAAATTTTTTATTTTCTTTGCATTCTAATTTCTTTTCTTCTCAAAATTATCATTAGATTCTAACACCAACAAATCAGCTCCTATTATCAAAACTAATAAATATTTAATAACAAATAGAGATTCCAAGTTCCTGTTATTAGAACCATTCAATTATATTATTGGAATCGTCCTGTTTCTCAAGATGTTCTGATAAACTTAGCTCTACTTAAAATGATACCAAACACTGATTTGCACCCAGAGAATGTTCCCGAGTTGCAGAAGAGGTGGCCTCTCCCGTCTCAAGGACACTGCTTAATGCATCAAGGTTTACGTCCCTATGAATGTGTAGCCGTCCTGGCTCGTTTCGTTCGGGCGAGTTCCCTTTCGAGTCGAACGGTAGCCGTTTCCTGACCCTTTACGGCCGGGCATTACAATACCGCCCAAGAAAAAGGACATTTATGGACAAGCGTTTACGGCGAATCGTACGAGACTTTTGTCATTGTTTTCGTTTTATACCGATCACTACAGTATCTACCGATGGTTGTTGAAAGTGCACCGAATACTTGTTGCTTTGTTGCATCTATCTGAGGCTCTTGGAATAAAATTATTTTCAATATTTGTAAAATTTAAATTGTTTAGACACTCTATACATAATATGCAGGCAAAAAGGTTGTGATATTTATATTTTCTAAACAGTGTAATAAAATTTGTAATTTAGATATTTTATTTTATACCTACTGAAGAATAGCTTTTTACTTGGGTCCATGGAAATTTCATATATTCTGCGGGTTCCAACTTACCTGAAAATAGAAAAGGAAAATTGTTAGATTAAATGAGGAAATGCAATTAAAAGATAAAATAAAAGAAGAAAATAAAATTTTTCACATTATTCTTCGTTGAAAGCAATGATTGTTACATAATCATTATTAGTGAATAGCATTCTGACAAAGTCAGAAATTAATTTCTATTCCCTCCGGGAATAAAATCATTCAATGAATAATGTTCGAATGCTCGCGCGGGAATGATCTTACGCCCAAGTGTACACGTACCACTTTCAAGTTCATGGCTGTTTGAGGAAATTATCAGCCAGACCATCTAGAGTTAACAATATGTGGGCGCCAGCATGGTAAAGCAAAAGAAAGGCCATGTTAAAGTTCACGTAAGGATCACCTTGATGAACTTGTTACGAGGTAATCGCAGAACCATAAAATACATAGCTGGCTTACACAACACAATGCACCAAATATGGAACTGCTATTTTTTACCATTTTCGTCGACGGCTTCGGTATTCTGTTTCTTTTCTCAGAACATCCTTCGATTTTATGGAATAAACAGATATAATTAAGCAGAATACCAATGTTCAACAATCATAGGCCATGATTTTTAGTTAATTCATTTCTGTCGCACGAAATCTTTTAATTTAACCCTTAGAACGTTTATATTACAATTAAGTGTATTTGAGGGTGAAACCTCCATCGAATTTTTTTTATCAGAAACTATATAGTGGATTCATTTGAAATTTTAAAGATATTTTGTCATACTGATTGAGAAAAGAAAAAGCTATTAATTAGATAAAGAAAGAATTATTTATATAATTATCAGGAATTCCATTTTAAAAGTTTAACCCAAAATTTCTAAATAGGTTTATTAATTTTAGCTCTCCATTCCAAACTGTTCTAAATAATTTGCAATCATTATTATGAATAAATACTAATTTATGAATAACGTGATAATTGATATAAATAACTAAATTTGCAATTTAATCCAGATTTATTTTAAAGCATTCTATTTTAGTCCCAAGATGTCATGACTTAGGGATAGTGATCCTGAATTAAACTTACAATCTTTTTTATTTTTAAAATGAACCTACAAGAGTTAAATTTACATGTCACCAATGTATTAATCTGTTCCAAAGGATCACCCTGTTCTAGTCAATTCGACCACTTTCCTTCAAGCAGAAAGGTTCTTCCTACCGAGGAAACGGTCATCGCCGTCGGCGTTTAATTAAATCGTCACATTAATCACACCTACGTTGCGTAAAGTGGACACAGTTCGTGTCGATACCTGGCGATTCTCTGTTTTCCAATTACACACCGACGTCGGAATAATAAGCTCAAGCAGATCGAGACAAATACCGTCCATTAAGTTATTTCGCCTCGCAGCTCTTGACCTTCGACATTCAATGGAATGTTCCTGCTGGAGGAGGACGATGATCCTGAAACGGGCAGACCTTGACCCGCACCATTCGACTTCGCGAGGCGCTTCATCGAAAGCAACTGATAAACAGGAAAATTTGAGAATTTCATCTGTGGGTTTCTTAACCGATTTTATTTATGACATAAACAGAATAGTTTCAGGTGGTTGCGACACCTTGAAGACCTCAAGATTCTGATGTTTCATTTTCTATATTATCATTCTTTTATGATATTTTTAATTTTCTGGAAAAATTGTAGGATTATAGAAGGGTGCGATATGAAATATTTAAAAAAATAAAGATAACCCATGATACAATTCTAAAAATAGAACATACACTGATTTTCAGTAGCTTGAATCCAATGATCGACAAGGAAATATGTTTATTTTTTAATAGAAGCACCGTGAAAAAATTGAAAGTGGTTGACGATGAGTTCCTGACTGAACGGAAATGTGGAGAAAACTGATTACAAAATGATTACTTCGAAGTGACGAGAATTGAGAAAGTTCCAATTCACTTCTACGTGACTAGTAAAATCGTTTTTAAGATGATTCTAATGATTTCTATACTAGACGATATTTGAAGAAAAAAGATAGGAAAAATGAATTTAATTTTATATGAACTATAATTAAAGGAATTAAAGGAATTAAACTCAATTAAAGGAATTTGAAAAGCCTATAAGAGAAATTCATTTTGCAACTTTCCACATGGGAAAAGGAAAGGATGGTCGATATAGAGTTACTTCTAGCGACAATCAATAATCGATTTCAATTTGCCCTATCAATATGCAAAATCAAAGAGTTGATTAAACCGAAGTCTCGTATTTACTATGCAGAGTATACTTTCTATGCACGTCGTAAATTCCATACGTCAGTGAGCAATAACCAATTGATTCTCTTGTAGGACTTTCTACTCTATCCAGGTTCAATTCGATTTTCCTGTATCATTTCAAATGCAAAGAAACAATACTATTCATTTGCTGCTGTCGATTCTGTGATAATATTTCATTACAATTTTGTACTTTGTATTTTGGAAGTTACAGTTTCATTTATTAAAAGTTGGTGAGTTGCTTTTAGAAAAGAGATTCTAATCGTTGAGAAGTAGATATTAAAATGCATTAATATTGCAAATAAAATAAAATAATTTTAATATTTTAAATAATAATCTTAAATCTTAAAATTTTTGAAAAGACATAATTATTATAAATATCATGTCAATTTGCTTTTATAAATAACTTTCTGTTCTATCGATTCATCGATGTTTTTACACGGTTCAATGATTTAGCACAGAGATCAAGAAAAGGAATGATCGGAAAGAATGAAATTTTAGTACGCCTCCTGGAAACTAGAGCGAAACCAATCGAACTGTTTCTCTAACTTTCAATTTCGGTGCTACACGTGTACTGTACGTTAAATAATTCCTATCTTTTACAATAAATATTAATCCTTCCTTGCACCGGAAATAAACGTTTTATAAACACTTTCTCTTTGTTTTAATGCTCGAAATTCTAGGTCGATATCACTTTAGATTCAAGAGCTTTTAATTTCAATACGAGCTAATTGTACTAGCTGTAGAAAAATAAATAAATTTTTCATGTTTTCAAATATCCAAGTACGTTAATATTAAATGAACTCTAAGTTCAGAAAATTGGAACCATTTCTATACTTCAAATATAAAATCTTGTATCACTTATCAACCATGAAAGTGTCACGAAAATTCTTGCCAAAAATGAGAATCAATAACGAACGGTTGCTGGCAAAACTCGAATCTTGCTGATTCGGTGACCCGATTGTCCGGTCCCGGAGGGTTTACATAATACTCTCGACCGCGTCCTGTTATGGAATCTATCGATCGCTGCATCGATATAAGGCGATACGAGGACCAGCTGTCATCTCGTCTCTGATCCTGTCCCTGGTTCTGGCCATGGACCCGTTACTCAACCATGAACCCAATTCACAACCCCCTTACATCAGATTAATTCCAATTTTTTTTTTTTTTTTTTTTTTTTTTTTTTTTGTCCACTTCAGATTTAACACTTTGAATGCAGGTGTAATGCACATATGCAAAAGAACAGCATTACACAACGAAGGCGTTGCATAAAATTATATTATGTAACGATGATGTTAGACACGCGTAATACTTTGTGCTAAAAGAATTATTTGCTGCCAAAGACTTTGCCTCGAGATACCATACAAGATTTTATTAAACTACTTTATAGAAAGATGATCTACACACAATTACTTTGTAAAAATAAGCTTCGAATGTCACGTTTATTCAGAATATAATTAGATCTTTATCTTTAATTCATTTTTACATAAAATTTAATGAAATAAAAAGAGTACTTTTTTCATGTCACGTGCAAGGAAAGCAATTCTCACGGGACGTGTACACAAGCCGGTTTGATGTTATTTTATACCTTCTGTAGTCACTGAAACTTTATGGACCCGTCTGACAAACTTTATCTTCCATCTAACCTATAAAACGTTCTAATTGCTTTAGATACAGGGATTACGTTGATCGACGAATTGATAGCCTCACAATTACTCAAACGATCACCTTACCATACGGTTGGGCAATTTTGAATCGCCTTAAATGACTTTATTTCGTACAGTCACTCATCGTCTCCTCATTTACATTTTTCTCTATAGAATAAATGTTATAAACATTTGCGCAAAACACCCTGCAGGTATATCCTACCGTCGAGTAACGTTAATTACACCAACCGTTACATGCATCTCGTTTCTAATTAATCAGGAAGCAAATGAAAAATGCCTAGACTGTCTGCAGACGAATATAAAAGAACAACTTCTTTTTATGACTGGCCAGAGGCAACAGTGGTTGAATTTCTTAGAAACCATGTGGTTCAATTAAACCTAATTATCGTGGTAGTTCTATGGTTTCCTTCCTTTTCGGAGCAGAACGGCATCCGATTAATCGATAAATTAAATTCCTTCGTACGGAAGGAACGAGCTAACGGGGATTAATCAGAGTTTTGATCGTGCCACGTGAGAAGGTACATTTCCGCTTGTCATTCATCCTAGTACGACAATAACGTGTTTACATAATGTACAGATGTTTCTTGCCTTGTTTTCAACACGAAATCGCGAATTCTTTTGATACCTTGTCTTAAGTACATAATTAACCCTGATTATAATTTGCACGGTCAAGGATCATTAAATGAAAACGAGCTCTATTACTTGGTATCTGCTGTGCTTACTAACGTTAGACAAAAGGCATCTTCGCCATTTGAATTGTATTTGTGATAACCCGCATGCTCGTTCGAAAGAAAAGGAAGTCTGACATGAATTCGTGTCTTCTAATTATCGCGGAGCACGAGGTTTCTAGGCGCAGTCACAAGGGCGTAAAGCCACACCTAAGCGACATATATTTAGTGGGTCAGAAACGCTTAATCTGTAATTAAACTGGGTTTGCCTTGCATTTAACTAATTTATGTTCCACCGGTCGTCCATTGAAGCTGCGTATTATTTGCTAATTTTCTTCTGAATACGAACGCCAGTCGAGTTTTAATGAGCTTTTAATGAATCATATCAGTCGTATGTATCCAGAAATGAATGCAATCAAAAATGCATGAATAATTTGGAGATA